TTTGTGATGCCTTTGTATTCGAGGGCTTCTACCAGGGCATCATAATCCTTTTTTGAGTTGGATAAAGGGCATAGTCAGTGTCCAAAGGCTTAGCAAGAAACATAGAATAGGTAATGGTATAGGCAGTAACCTTCAATTTTGAATCTTATAGGATATTTGACATCAAAGATGGTGACATTTTTTAAGATTAGAAGTAACGGAAAGAAAATCGAGGGAGGTGAGTGATGTGATGCTGAAATGGATGGGAGATAAAAGGAGGCTTGGTGGAGACGAGAGGGCTTGGCGAAGCGTGTTTAACCAAGTGGCGTGCCATGTTTGTTATGTTGTGTTGTATGTGATATTTTTGGAAACTCAGTAAGCTTCATACTTACAATTGTGGATTTAAATGTGTTTCAGATACTTCAGATGATCACGAAAAGACGAAGACTTAACTGTACACACTCATTGGCAATTATCATGATTCTGCATTTTATGATACTCTGATTTTTGAGTAGATTGTATTTGATACTCATGGTCTTATTTGACTTGGTTTTACGGAAATAATGTTTTTACCTAATATTTAAAAAAAATGATTGTGAAAATGAAACGTTACCAACCGAGCAACATTGCCATACAATCAAAAATTTTCTATGCAAATAGTGCATAGGCTTGATACAATGTTTCAACATTAACTACTTTAAAATAAAAGTAAAAGGTTTACCTTTTTTGGAGTCTTTTTGCGATGAACACGTTAATAACCATCCCATAGTGTTCACACATTTTCTACATTTCCCAAATCGTAAAGTGGGTTGAGAAATTTGTGACAAATAGATTATGCGGTTGGATCATTGATTCATCGGATTGTTGATTAGCCCCTCCTCGTGCAACTTATTGTTATGTTGGTCAACCATCACCCTCTTTCTTTCCAAATGTGGCCTTCAAGAAACAACCATAATGACTGACGATTTAGTGAAAAGTCGAAGCCTTGATGAGAGACATCGATATGTCGACATTTACAGATGTCTGCTAGAGAAGAAAATTGTCGGCCTTAAACAATATAAACTCTTATTCATATTTACCTTTAGTTTTAACTGTTATAACAATCTCTTATGTGATTGTAAATATACAATATCTTCCAACGTTGATTTTGAAAATTATTTTCGTACACTAGAAAATTTTGTACTGAGAAACTCAAAATTTTGCATTTTATAAATAACACAACGTTGTTCCAGAAAAAAGAATTATTAATCACGCTTTACAAGTTCTCTTATTATGGTTTTATTGAGATATTTTTCGTTTGTTTAGCAAGCAACCTTTATTAAATATCCAATTGATGAACCATGTGTAACAGCTCATTTTCAACAAGACTAGGAATATCTTATAACATACAAACTTATATATAAATCCCATAGAATAAAATTGTAGGAAGCATCATGGGTTACTTAAAAGTCAACAGAAAAGAAACATTATGTAAGATATTATCAACCTCGGTAAAAAACTTTAATTCGAAGCTTCAGGCCGATATAATCTTAAGTTCGGATACAAAACTGAATTAGTTCAAGTTGTCCAATTAAATTAGATAAGCTAGTGGAAATGACCAATTTATGTTAAAAGTTAGTGAAAAGTAAGAGATTGTGACAAGTAAAAAGTAAAAAAGATTAGGTGAGGAAGGTGTTGTTTTTTAAGAGAAGATCTGGTAGACTAAATATCTACACACTGTAAAAACAAGATTATTTGTTTTTCAAAGTCTATAGATTGCTAAAATAAACTGAGGTATAAATAAATAAACTGATATTTTAAATCTAAAAGAATTTTTCAATACTGAAATTTAAAAAATTCTACTTTACAACATTGAAATATAATTCATACAACCACAATAATATTTCTTAAAAAATTGTTCATTTCGTATTTTGCATTAATTGCTAAAAAATATCATCCCATATAGACATATATTCCTGATCCGATGCACAACTAAACGTTTTGTGGAATTTAATTAAACTCATTGATTTGTATCAATTAGTTAAGTAATAAAACGTATGGACTAAATATCAAAAAGCAAACGTTTAGGTTTTAAGTAAATTAGTCGGTTATTGAAATAACTTAGAAAATATAAAATATCAGGTTCTATAATAAGAAATTAAATTAAATATTTATTATTTTTAATATGTTAAATAAAAAATGAAAAAAAAAAAAAAACAAGAAAAATTGCATGTCTTTATGAAAAGAAAAAGAAACAAAAAGAAAAAAAAATGTGCATCTATATGTTTATGTCTTAAGTTATTTTTTTTTATCTAGAAGATGATAGTGATAAATGTATTCTCATCTGCAAACTTTGATCCGTATCTTTTTGGAGAAGATCCGTATCTTTTTCAAGAAGATGACGTATATATATTTTGACGTTTGCAGTCTTCTAAAACCCAAACAGTCTGTATTCATACAGACACAAATATCTTTTTGCTCATAGACATAAATACTAAAAAAAATTGTTAAAAAAACTAACACCACCTCTTGGGTAATGAAATGTTATAAACTTTGACTTTTGACTTTTTATGCGGTAACACCACCTAAAGGGGAATTCACATCTTGGGCAATCAAATGTTTATAAACTGTGACTTTTTATGCTAATAGTTTTATAATAATATTAGATATATTAATGATTTATAAAATTGAAATTTTGACAAAAGTTACAAAATAAACCCAAAATATCAAAATATTCTACTTTAAAAATTATCTTTCAGCTCGTTAAATAACTACTTAAAAATTATATGTTAAAATCTCATTATCATATTTGTGTAAGAGAGTGTTTGATATGTCTTTTAGTGATAAGACTTTGAGTTTAATTCGGTTAGATTCAAACGTTTGATATCATAATTAAGCGACTCGGTGTTATAATCTTCTTACTGAATTTGATAAAAAGCTAGGTCCAGCTTAATAAGATATTAAATCAATCAAATCACTACAACTATCAAGAAACGCTTTATATACTAAATTATATCGCAAATCATAAAATGAATGTATCATATTTAACTCCTTATATTTTAAATTATATCACAGATCATAAAAATGAATGTATCATATTTTATTTTATTTTTCTTATCTGGTGCCTCTGAACATGAAGCATCCTAGGTAGTGCCCACTGCCAAATTTGATATTTAGAAATTGACGCATAAATAAATGAATATATAAATTAAAAATATAAGGAGTAGATATATTATAATTTTAAATTGCATTATTTTAATACCGAGACATCTCTGAAGCATCCTTGTATTACTCAAAATAAATTCTTTGAATTATTTTGGCATATTTTAGAACCAATAATTAAAATTAAGAATAAAGAAGTAAATTGTAGAGAAGACTAAGGAATTCGGAAATTATTGGGTTTGTTATTAAGAACTAAAAACATAATATGTAGACGTGCATTATGGTGGCTATTTTGTACAACTAATAAGTATATAATTATATTTATATACACAAATATCCGCGTTTACGTCGAGGTGTAAATAATAAACAACTATATTAATAAAGAACTATGTAACTTGACTCAAACTCAAGACAATCGATCAGTAAAAAGGTAAATAGAATTATTAAAATCACAATGACATTTTGTGGTTGCTAAGCCTCAGAAAATTTTCAAAATACATATGCATTGATTTTATTATCTAAAATGTAAACATTATCTTTTAACAAGTTAAACAAATAGAAAATGGCTATAAATATATTGAGATGACCGTGTCATTATTAGCTATGTATTTTTTTTTTTCCAATGATATTCAATATATATTATTATTTACATAAATAATAAAACAAAAAAGTGTACAAATCAATATACCCACCATAAAAAATCTAAAATGAAGTTGATTTTTGAGTGGAATTATGTTTGAATCCTCACAAACTTCAATTTTGGGATAACCTACTACCATAAACACTCAAATTGTTCCCATGTTTCAGCAAATAAAAGAAAAGAGTAGAGAAAAAAAAATGTATTTTATGTTGTGGAGTTGGACAAAAATAAAAAGTAATTTTTATTTCTTTTCTCTTTAAAACCTTTCAAATTAAAAAGGAAAGTAACTTTTTTCATTAAAAAACTTTTAAAAACTTAGGAACACCACGTTTTTCCTTTCTTTTTTATTTCCATCCTTCCTCTTCTAATTTTTTTCATTAAAAAACATAGGGATACCAATTTTTTTTCTTTTCTTTTCTTTTTTATTTCCATCAATTTCTTTATTTCCTCATAAGTTGAACTCGAAAACAAAGTGTAAAATAAAGTTAACACTTTTCTTTCGAAACGTAATTTATTTTACTCCATAACAAGAAGTTATTGTTTTGAATCTCAATTCGGTGTTGCTTTCCCTCTTTGAGATTGAGGGTTCAAATTATGTCATACACATTAGTAGATTTAAAGAATAGTTTAGAAATAGATTAGATTTATTATTTCATAATAATAATAATAATAATAATAATAATAATAATAATAATAATAATAATATTATGTTCAATTGTTCGTAAATTCATTGACTTTTAACAAAACCACTTCTTATTTCAAGTCAGCTAGAGAATGGTCTTAAATTTCGGGCCCAATCAGGCCTAACAAGTAAAATACTAACCCACCAACCCTTTCTTCTCTTCTTTTTTTGGGTTTTTTTTTTCTAATTATAGATGACATCATGTGTAGTTTTAAATTATAAAGACCTAATGCCAAATATAGCTATTTTTCGTAAAGGTTTTTCTTAAAATTATTCAAAAAAAAATAGAGATTTTTTATGAATATACCATGCATTTCGCAGGCACCCCACAAAATACTTATGGGAAGTGCAAAATGAGCCCAACACGATGCCGTTTACGATTGTCCAAAATGGAAATGTCCACTTTCAAATGAGGTCGAAGAGAAAAACATACGTATTCACTATTCACATAACTTTTAAAATTCTTTGTATTTTTAATTATTTAAAAGTTTTTCCTATGCAACTACTTCATATTCGCAGATGTAACTTTTCATCTTATGCACGTACTTCATATTATAGTCATTTGTTTAAATCCTAGAAAACAAGTTTAACAGTTTCTTCAAAAATACCAACTTTCACAAACAAAAAGTAGTTAGATTTTTTTCGAAAAAGAAATAGCTATGATTACAGTAATAAATATTTGAACTCCATCCAAAGACCTAAAAATACTACAACAAAAATGAAAAAGTTCATTAAAAAAAATATACTATTCAATATTTGCATAAAAAGGCAATAACATAAATCCCTACAACACAAAATTTCCCTAAACCTTTTTCTCGTTCAAAACTCTGTAATATCATATCATATACTCCTATTCCCCTTTAACCATAAGATTCAAAACGACCTGAAACCATTTAAAAAAAAAAAAAACAGATTACAAGATATTATGCATTGAAGCTGATTCACGTCCTCTTGATCTTTGAAAAAGTTCCTGTTTCTGAAAAATACGTGCTCTGTGTTCCACTCCCAAGTCTATTAGCATCTGCCTGTGGATCTATAAGATCAATCCCCTGAAAAAAAAAACAAATATTTAATTATAAGTTATTCATATAATTTATAACCAATTAGATGATTTAGGGTTAAAAAGGGAAATAAACCAAAAACCTGAACAGGTGTAAAAGCTAAACTTGACGTCAATCCAGAGGTAGCCCCACCACTACTATACTGTTTATCTTTGCCCCTTAAGAAAATTTCAAAATCAAACATATCCATAACAACTTAACATTACACGATTTTCAGGAAAAAAAAAATGAAAATGAAAAAATAAAAAAATTACTTTTTAGCAACTTTAGCAGCGAGTTTGCTTTGACCAACTGAAACACGAAGCTTTCCGTTTCCAGCTTGACCAAGCATACCGTATCCTTCTCCTAGTCCATCACCTATTATGAAACAAAATAGAATCCAACTTTTTAATTTAAAAAAAAAAAAATTAGAAATTAAAAAAATAAGATGTGTATGTTAAAGATAGGGTGAGGGTGAAATTATTTTAATAAAATATTTTGACCTAATGAGCTCTCTTCAGGCACTCCAAACTGCATTCTGTTTGCCAGTTTCCTCATGTCTGTAATCGCATATCTGGTAAAAAAAAAAAAGTAAAAAACATAAGTAAATAATAATAATAATAATAATAATAAAGAAAGGCTGAAGAAGAAAAAAGCAAAACTAGGTCCTCTATCTTGTGATCAACCCAGATAAGCTTATACTAAAAAAAATTCTCTGGTCATAATTTTTTAAAAGTTTTTAGAGAAAATAAAACCATAAATTAAAGCAAGTCATGAAATTCTTAAAAAGTTTTGAGACATAATTTAATGGGTTAATCTCATAAAAGATCTTATATTTTGTGTTTTTTTCCGGATTAAACCTCAACTTTCTTTTTTTTTTTTTTCCTGAAAACGTTTTTCCATTTTTTTTCGATCTGGCCCTTTTAGTCATTTTTTCTGAATAAAACCTGTAAAATGTGAGGGGGTTTTCGGAAGCAGTTAGAAGGTTGAGGGTTTTTTCAGAAAAAAAAAAAAAAAAGACAAAGCTCAGGGTTTTTTTGGAAAAAAATGGAAAAATACAAGGCCTTTTTCAAGGAAAAAAAAAAGTTCATGTTTAATCTAGAAAAAAAAAAACACAAAATATAAGGTCTTAACCCTACTTTTTTTAATAATACAAAAAAAAAAAAAAGAGTTAGATTCCAGTTTTCTTGAAAAAAGAAAGAAAGAAAGAAAGAAACATCCCCTTCCCCTACGGAATGAAAGGAATCAAATTCCTTCAAAAATGATCCATTCCATTCCATTCCATCAGACAAATTTTGTTCAAACCAACGGAATGAACCATTCCATTCCATTCCTGATTCCATCATACCAAACACTACCCAATTTTCTACTATTACAATACTACTCACTATATTTACTTCAATACAATATTATAACCCTAACACACACATAAATAAATTATAAAATTACATACCTCTCCTTCATTTTCCTCAATCTTCTCCCACCTCTTTTCTTTTTAGGTTCAGAATCCGGAACAGGAAGTGGCTTAGGTTGCTTAGCTGGCGGTGGTTCTTGCCACTTTTCAATCTTCTTCCTAATCTCTTCCCTATACATCCTCCCTTGTTTCCCAGACGGGTCCCCCCTAATCGAGTCAACTCGCGCAGCAAGCGTTGACTTTGCAGCCAAAAGTCTACAAGCCCTCATCTTTAACCCAGGAGGCGTTGTCTGAAAAACCTCCGTTTGTTCAATATACCCAACTCTAAACTGAGAAGTAGCAGTTGAAAATCCCGCCAAATTCTTCTTTTTAGCACCCAAAAGCTGCACATTACAAGCTGGCATTTTCGCAAGTGATGTCAGCCCGCCAGCTGTCCCCATCAGTTTCGCAGCAACCGCACTTCCAACAATCGCGGAAAGATTCGGTGCGATATAACCCATTCTACTCTCTACAAAATCTAGAACTTTCTTTTTTGAAGCGTCTAATGTAAGGGCTCGATCGCATGCTTCGATTGTTTTTTGGAGGGTATTTTCGGGAAGTGGCTTCCCACTTGTGGTGGAGGCTGTGACTGAAACAACCATGATTATGGCTGAAGGGAGAAGACCTTCTAAGTCAACTAGGGTTAAGTCAACTTCGTTTCCGATTTTTTTAACCACACGCGCGTAATCGATTGGGTGATGAACAAGGGATTCGAGTTCGGGAAATTTTAATCGGTATTTATCGCGTATAAAATTGTGGATTATGACGATTTCGTTTTCTATGTCGACTGATAATGTGTTGCATTCGACTATTAGTTGGTATTCGGGATCGTCTTCTAGAACCATGGATTGGTTTGACATGTCTGATCCTTTTTCAAGGGCGTTTTCGACTTTTTTCATGATGTCTGTGTAGCGTTGTGTTTTTTGTAGCTTTGAGACACTGTCTAAGTCATCGTAGTTCAGGGCTTCTATATCGGCTATGTCTTTATTCACATCTTCTTCCATGTTTTCTGCATCCATGTTTTCTTCATCCTGTTGAATACAAAATGAATTGTATATAAACAAGAGTTTCAAGTTTCAACTTTTACATGACATTAAGATGAAACGTATGTTTATGCTCACCAGGTTTTCGTTATCATTGTCGGATAGATCCTCAAGATCTGCAAGAAAAGAATCTTCAAGGTTTGCCTGGAAAAAAGAAAAAGAATAAATTTCTGTTATGAGCAGATTAAGATTTTGGTTATAACATATGCAAGAAATTTCATGTTGTGTTTCGACTTTATTTGATTCAAGCTGTATCATATGTGGAAGGACATATTGTTGCTCATTGAATGTAGATTAAACCAAGAAAAAATGAATAAGAGTGTTTCAGAGAATCCATACCATTATTTTTGGAGAGGTGTAGCTCAGATATCAGATACAAAGGCAGAAACTCGGATACTTGAAGTTCTTCTTAACTCTATCTACAATTAAATGCATAAAACTGTAAATAGCAGAAAGAATCACCACTCGATAGTCGATTCCTTTTACCATTCCAAGGTAAAGCAGTGTTTTTCGTGGAACGTGATGAGGATTTGAAACGAGAAATGATACATAATTAAATTGGCATAAATCAAAAGATTCGTTGTTCACAATTTCAATTCCATCGAACAATCTAGGGTTTCAACATTCAATTGTTGAAATAGTCCTAAACAGTAAAAAGTAAACTCAAAACTTACATATAAGATACAACTTGAAAGGAGGTGAAGCGATTGACGGAAGTGGAACACGGAGCAACGATCGTGAATCGTCCCGGCAAGCAGAGACGGCGAGAGTTCTGTTATGTCGACTGGTTGGGGTGGGAGCGAATGAGTTACCTTTGCTTCTTTTACGGTTTTTTATTTATATTATATTTTAAAGATTCCAAAATTAGCATAAATGTGTTTTCTCATCTAAAATTATTTCTTATCCGTTTATTTATATTTTTCATAACTTTTGTATTTTTGTTATACAAAACTGCAAAAATATTCATTGGTATGTATTCTCAAGTTTAGTTCAAATTTCGATTTTTTTTTTAATAGTCCTTTTAAGTTATTTTCGTTGTGGATTTTATCCATCAGTAAACTAATAAAGTGAAATAACTATAATACCATTGGATATTTATTTTATATTTTTCTTTCATTTTTTTAAAATCTAATAATTATTTATTTATTTAAACAATTAAAAAATAATAGGTCTTTCTCTCTCTCTCTCTCTCTCCATAATTGTGATCATTGTTCGCATAATTTCAATCCGGTATATTGAACTTGAACTCCATCGGTGCAATCCAAGCTTGGAATCTCATCTAAATAACTATGATTCCTAATCAAACAGAAATCAAATTAACCATTTTTCATTACTCTTCGTATTCACAGGTTTACATGTTCAACAAGATGTCTGGCCAGACCCAATGTTTGAAGATCGTTCGTACTATCACAATGCTTGGAGTTGTACACTACTATAAAAACAGCCTTTTACGACGCGCAAACAATGACAAGTGCTGATAAAGGACGCGCATTTGTGTGTGCCCTAAAAAAATAATGTCAGTTTTGCAAAATTTGAAGGATAAAGGACACGCATTTTTGTGCGCACTAAAATTAGTGTCCAACAAAAAAAATTAAAAACACGGAGGGCACCTATCCTAAAAAGTGTGTTGTGTTACCATGTCGCTTTATAATTTTAGTCTACGAGGGCACGTTTTCTTTTTTTAATAGCCAGTGGGAAATGAAATCCAAAAAATTAAAAACCCCCGCCTGTTGTCCTTCCACAAGAACGCTCACCTCACCTCATTCCATAGAAACGCTCACATCATCCAATCAACCATCACCACCATTCCTACCATCCATCACCGCCCTACCAACTTCTCCATCACCACCTCTTTATTGTTCCACGTGAAACCTTAAAATCGGTACCAACAACTAATAGGGTTTGGAGAAAAAGTTGATCTAAGAAAAATCAAAGCAAACGATTTTGTCTTTAATTCGAAAGATATTTCCTTCGATTCTAACCCTATTTGTTCTCCCCTCCTTTTCCTTCGCAAACACACATGGATTATGAGTTCCTTATCTGTTCCTATGGTGTCACACCCCCAAACCAGAATGGCGGAAACATTCGGGGGTGGATGACTTCATGTAGTATTATAACAGTTGAGTAAATAGTAAAGAAAGCAAACACAACCGTCATAATTATAATTTAAAAAATACTTTGTTAATTGTATTACATGTTTCAAAAGAAATTACATTATGATGATATAATAAGTTTGAAATTGACGCCTTAGCGTTCCATCCCCAAAATCGATTGTTTACCTCTATTCCTTAATCCCTGAGAAATACAAGTAGTTTTGAAAAAGTTTCAACAATTAAGTTGGTGAGTTCATAAGCGTCTTTGTATAAGAATTGTATGCCTTTTTGTATAAAGTAACTGAGTTTGTATCTAGAAAATCCAATATTTTCCATAAATGAATAGTAATTTTAAAAATTCCCAAAAATCGGAATGCATAAGTATTTTGCATACCTAAAATAATGTAAGGGGCCGTTTGATAGTTGCTGATTGAGAAAGTGCTAATTAAGAAAGGTCTCTCTGAGTAATAAGTTCTGACTGAGTAAGAAACTATGCGGTTTGATTATACATCTGACTGAATGTGCTGACTGATACAAAATGACCGTTTTACCCTGATGTTCTTTATAATAATAATAATAATAATAATAATAATAATAATAATAATAATAATAATAATAATAATAATAATAACAATAATAATAATAATAATAATAATAATAATAATAATAATAATAATAATAATAATAATAATAATAGTAATTGTAACATCCCGGAATAGCAAGAGTAGAGTTGAAGGGCTAAAAGTGTAAGTCTTGAAGGGCGACTCGGCAAGTCCATGGATGGACTCGGCGAGTAGAGTCGCGACTTTGGTCGCGTGTCAGGTGGCCTACTCGGCGAGTTCAAAGATGGACTCGGCGAGTAGGTGCTGGGTGAAGAAAACCTTAAAGCCAGGGAATGAGCCCTATATAAAGAACATTATGTTTCCTCCCCAGCCTCTTTGATTCCCCTTAAGCCCCAGAAACCCTAATTTCATGGAGGAACACCATTGTTGGGCAAATTGGAGCTTGGAGAAGTGCTAGTTGAAGAAATCTTGAAGGAGAAAAGGCTTGGATCAAAGGGTTTTGCTTGGATTTGAGTTTCATTGCTGTTGGGGCATTCTTTGGAGGTAATATCTCGTTCTTGAGCTGCTATTGTCTAGATTCTTCATTTTGGGGGGTGTTGAGATCACATCTATTAGTGTTTTGGAGTCTAGAGGTTAGATCTGAGGTTGCTACCTCAGATCTGGAACAGAGGAGGGTTGGAATGCCTGAAAGTCCCTGTGATTGAGTATGTAGTGAAGCTATCTTGTCCCAAACCTTAGCCCTAATGTGTATAATGCCTAGATCTTCATGGATTCACGTAAAGACTACCACTTTACGTGATGGATGGCCTTAGGAGAAGTAGACCTATGGTTTGGATCATCTGCATGGCTTGGAAAGCTTCTGTATGGATTCAGACCTGGTGGTACTCGGCGAGTCACATGGGTGGACTCGACGAGTTGCTTGAAGATGGCCTAGAACTTAGCGAGTTGGAAGAAAAACTCGGCGAGTAGGTTGAGGATAGCCTTAGGCTCGGCGAGTCTGTTCTTAGACTTGACGAGTCTTGTCGAAGTGTCCCAATATATTCTGGTTGAGTCGAGAATCGGCGAGTCAAGGAATGACTCTGTGAGTTGTGAGCGAGTGGACTCAGAGTTGTTGGACTCGACGAGTCTCGGGGTGACTCAGCGAGTTAGGTCGTGGATTGAGGGAAGTTCCGATTAAGGGGACTCGGTGAGTCATCGGTTTGACTCGGTGAGTAGGGTCAGTCAGGGGTTGACTTTGACCATTGTCCAAAGGTTGACCAGTTGTCTTCCAGGGGTATTTTGGTAATTAAGGGTATTTATTGAATTGAGTGTGTTGGTGTTTAGTGGAGGAGTTCGCGTCAGAGTTGGAGCAGCGGGATCTTGTCCTTTTCAGCCGGCAGTTTCGAGGTGAGTTATCCTCACTATATCAACAGGGTCTAAGGCACCAAGGCCGACCCTTATAGGATTGAGATCCGGGTAGTTGTTGTTATTTTGTTGCTGTGATATGCTTGCATCCTGAGAGTTAGGACGGTATATGTTAGAGACCTGATTGAGATCGGTATCCTGAGAGATAGGGAGATGCTATCCTAATGACCTGTTAGGTCGGTATCCTGCTTAGAGTATGTTATGCTATGTGATCTGCTAGATCGGTTTGTTTGAATGTGAACTGTTATATGATTATATGTTTATGTGCACATGGTTGTTTGGACTGGAGATGGGTTGAGGCGGGTCCTGCTTTGTGATGTAGGCCAAGATACCCAGGGCGGACCGGTTATTCCGAAGGCTCAGCGAGCAGTCCGGATATGCTGTAGGCCCCACGCGGGTGTACCATACATGCCGAAGGTTCGGAGAGTGGACCAGGCCGACTGAAGGCCCGATGCGTGCGGACCAGTCGTACTGTAGATTCAGAGAGTGGACCAGGTGAGTTGAAGGCCCAGTGCGGGCGGACCAACCACACTGCAGACTCGAGGTACATGATTGGACTCGGAGGGTGGACCAGGTGGACTGAAGGCCCGACATAGCGGACCAGTCCTACAGTAGACCCGATATGCATGTCTGTTCTGTGATTCGTTATGAGATAACATGTTATGTGTATGGTATATGTGGTTGGTATTTTGGGGGTATCTCACTAAGCTTTCAGGCTTACAGTTGTGGTTTAATGTTTTTCAGGTTCTTCAGGAGACTGTGGCAAGGCGAAGGCGTGATCGTACCGCTCCTCATGATTTTGTAGCAATGTGATTCTTGGAATACTCTAAATGATTTTGTATTGAAAACCTTTTTGTAATAATTTAATGGAATCGGGTTGTTTTTAAAAAAAAAAAAATTAAATTGGTTGTATTTTTCGGTCGTTACAAGTTGGTATCAGAGCCTTGGTTTGAGTGAATTGGACGAAGACTCGTGTGACTCCAGTCTCAAATCGAGGAGGGTTTTCAAAAGAGAATTTAAAATGCTTTTCAAAATAAGTAAAGGAAGACGCGGAGGTACGATCATCCGGAGCCAGTAAGTAACCCCAAAATACCATACATGATATTTGTTTTATTGAGCTTTGATAGAACAACATGCTAGAGTTAGGCTAGGGATCTTCAGGATGTCTTGATGTGTTGCCTGATTTATGATGCTTGCTAGCCTAGGGTTTTCTTGTGAGAGATTACTAGTGTTCCTCTAGTTGCGAGGATAGAGCGTTGTTATGTATGTTTTCGCTAGGGTG